GAGCACGCAACCGTCAAGCGTGATGGGCGGTGGTCGCATGGCCTCCCCGCGCGCGACCTCGTCCCCGGGGACATCGTTGAGCTCCGGGTCGGGGACAAGGTTCCCGCGGACATGCGCGTGCTCCAGCTCATCAGCTCTACCCTCCGCGTCGAGCAGGGATCTCTCACCGGCGAGACCGCTTCTGTTAATAAGACCAGCCACAAGATCGAGTTGGAGGACACTGACATCCAGGGAAAGGAGTGCATGGTTTTTGCCGGTACCACTGTTGTCAACGGCAGTGCTGTCTGTGTTGTGACGGGCACTGGCATGGCCACCGAAATTGGCAAGATCCATGCCCAGATCCAGGAGGCATCTCAGGAGGAGGACGACACGCCACTGAAGAAGAAGCTCAATGAGTTTGGTGAGGCGCTAACTGCCATAATTGGGGTGATCTGTGCCTTGGTCTGGCTCATCAACTTGAAGTATTTCCTTTCCTGGGAGTATGTTGACGGGTGGCCTAGGAATTTCAAATTCTCATTTGAAAAGTGCACATATTACTTTGAGATTGCAGTGGCACTGGCCGTTGCAGCAATTCCAGAGGGCTTGCCTGCTGTGATCACCACGTGCTTGGCACTCGGCACAAGGAAGATGGCCCAGAAGAATGCCCTTGTGAGGAAGCTGCCCAGTGTCGAAACATTGGGTTGTACAACTGTGATTTGCTCTGATAAGACCGGAACTTTGACCACGAACCAGATGTCAGCAGTGAAGCTTGTGGCAATTGGGAGGTGGCCTGATACACTTAGGAGCTTTAAGGTTGATGGAACCACTTATGATCCGACTGATGGGAAGATACATGATTGGCCTAGCTTGAGCATGGATGAAAATCTCCAGATGATCGCAAAGATCGCTGCGTTTTGCAATGATGCAAGCATTGCCCACTCTGAGCATCAGTATGTTGCTACTGGGATGCCCACAGAAGCTGCTCTGAAGGTATGATCTGTTCATGTGATAAAATTTCCTTTCATTTGGGATGCTGTTATGGTTAAGTTTTTTTTTTCTACTGCAAAATTATCTTGCATGTAGCTTGGGAGCAGGTAATGTATATCTGCAAAAAAAGTTAATAGCAATTTATACAACAAAATAAAAAGATGATAAAAGAACTGGTAGCTACTTTCAGTGACCTCTACAATTAAAAAGATTGAACACAACTCTTTCATCAAGGTACCTGAAATTGTTGAATTTACGTTGTGGTGTGACTGTTCAACTTGTGGCAGGTTTTGGTTGAGAAAATGGGGCTTCCTGGTGGTTATACTCCATCTCTGGATTCATCTGATTTGCTAAGTATGTATTCCTTTCTGCCTTGTAAAATGTTTTCCGTGCACATCGTCAAAGGTTCTGTAATAATTACTATTCTTTTAATTATTGTTTAAGGGTGCTGCCAGTGGTGGAACAATGCTGCTAAGAGAGTAGCAACACTGGAATTTGATCGCACCAGAAAGTCAATGGGAGTTATTGTGAAAGTAAACTCTGGGAAGAACTTGCTGCTTGTTAAGGTAAGTATTTGTGCTGGAGTTTGCATCCCTTGTGGTTTTAGATCGTCAGTTTCAAGTGCACAGCAATTGCCTGCTTCTTGTTGTTGGTCTGTTTAAGCTGTGATGTTGTCCAACCATTTGTGCATTTAGCTATTCCCTCCTTTTCCCCGGAAAGGGTTACATCAAATTACCTATTTGTTACTTTATCACTCAGATGTCATTTGCTTCCTTGCAAATTATGAAATATTTTGTGATGGAAATGTCATGCTTTACTACTTCTTGCAATGTGTTGGCTGTGTCTTTTTCTTTGTTGTATGATTGTTTCATGGTGGAAATAAACTTTGCAGGGAGCAGTAGAGAATCTTTTAGAGAGATGTACCCACATTCAGTTGCTCGATGGATCTGTTGTGCTATTGGATGATGGTGCCAAGGCGCTCATATTATCTACACTCCATGACATGTCTGCCAGTGCTTTGCGCTGTTTGGGTTTTGCTTACAAGGATGAATTGGCAGAATTTGCAACATATGATGGTGAAGAACATGCAGCTCACAAGTATCTGCTCGATCCTTCATACTATTCTTCCATAGAGAGTAATATGATCTTTTGTGGTTTTGTTGGTCTAAGGGTGAGAAGTTTTACTTATCTGGTTAAGATTATTCAAATGTGTATATTCTTCTTTCTGTTTATTATTGCATATACCTGTAACACTCAAAGACACTATTGACAGGATCCTCCCCGAGAAGAAGTCCACAGAGCAATTGAAGATTGCAGAGCTGCTGGAATACGTGTTATGGTGATAACAGGAGATAACAAAGAAACAGCAGAGGCCATTTGCCGTGAGATTGGGGTTTTCGGCCCTGATGAAGATATCAGTTCAGAAAGCTTCACAGGGAAGGAATTCATGGCGCTTTCTGATAAAAAGAAGCTCTTAAGACAACAGGGTGGCCTTCTCTTCTCCAGGGCAGAACCAAAACACAAGCAGGAGATAGTTAGACTGCTCAAAGAAGACGGTGAAGTGGTTGCAATGACTGGTGATGGGGTGAATGATGCACCGGCTCTTAAACTGGCTGATATTGGAGTTGCAATGGGCATTACAGGGACTGAGGTATGGCTTATTGCATTACTGTTCGGCTGCGAGAATAAGCGGATGTGGCTGCTGCAGCCCCGCTTATTCGCCTCTCTCATGTTTTGTTGAAGAGTGTCTGACACGTCCTATCAACTTGTGTCAGGTTGCAAAAGAAGCTTCAGATATGGTACTTGCAGATGATAACTTCAGTACTATAGTCGCAGCAGTTGGTGAAGGGAGGTCTATTTACAACAACATGAAGGCTTTTATTAGGTTTGTTTTTAGATAAGCTATGGCCAAACTTTCATTGTGTATAATTGTTGGTTATACTAAAATATGTGTTAGCTGTTGAGTCATGTGTGCTATGTGAACTGCAGATATATGATCTCCTCAAATATCGGAGAGGTCGCGTCCATATTCCTGACATCGGCTTTAGGTATTCCAGAAGGTCTCATCCCAGTGCAACTTCTATGGGTCAATCTTGTTACAGATGGCCCTCCAGCGACAGCTTTGGGGTTCAACCCGCCTGATAAAGACATCATGAAGAAACCTCCTCGAAGAAGTGATGACTCGTTGATCACTCCTTGGATCCTGTTTCGGTATATGGTATGTTTTCCAGTTGATCATTTGATTAGTTGATGGATTTGAGATTAATATGGTGGCCTCATGTTTTTTCCCGTCCAATGAAGCTGTGTAGCAATTAAAACGTACATGCTTTTGAACAAGTTATATCTACTAAATTGTTTTATGGTGAATAGTTTGTAGTGAAAACCTGTAAGGGTTATCATAATGTAACTAAGTTTCCTTAGATCTTGAGCCAGTAGAATGAATATGGCCACCAATTTACCCAAGTGTTCTTGGATGTGCTAACTCAGGGTTGAGCTTTTCTTCTGATAAATTAATGATGTGAACAACATTGGTGTTTAAAAACATCCACCACTTAGATATGATATGATATATCTGTCTTTGTTCTAGTAACAAGAAGAAACATAAAATGCAGCGTCAGACTCGCATGTTCGAATAAATATGTAAAGTTATGTCTGGAGTAGATCTATTTGCCTGTCAAATCTGATCTAACTGATCTGCAACTAAAGTGAAAAGGTATATATCTGATGATAAGAAATGAAGCATGAATGGGTTATAGAGAATTATATTTCATGTAAATCTATTAAATAGCCTTGTGGATTTTGATGCTACCTTATTTTTCTAGTTGGCCTGTGCAACCACATGAAACACGCTGTGCATTTTTTTTTTTACTAACGAGAGAGCCATGCCCATGCATGTGTAGGTTATTGGCCTTTATGTTGGGGTTGCAACAGTGGGAGTCTTCATCATCTGGTACACGCATGGCAGTTTCCTGGGAATTGACCTGGCTAGTGATGGTCATACACTTGTGTCGTACTCCCAGCTCTCAAACTGGGGCCAGTGCTCCTCATGGGAGGGCTTCAAGGTGTCGCCATTCACTGCAGGAGCGAGGACATTCAGCTTTGATGCAAATCCTTGTGATTACTTCCAGGGCGGCAAGATCAAAGCAACGACCCTCTCTTTGTCTGTCTTGGTGGCCATTGAGATGTTCAACTCGCTGAATGCGCTGTCAGAGGATGGCAGCCTTCTGAGCATGCCGCCATGGGTTAATCCGTGGCTTCTTCTGGCCATGTCCGTTTCTTTTGGGCTGCATTTCTTGATCCTCTACGTGCCTTTCCTCGCCCAAGTGTTTGGGATTGTGCCCCTCAGTTTGAACGAATGGCTCTTGGTGATAGCAGTGGCCTTCCCAGTGGTGCTGATCGATGAGGTTCTCAAATTTGTGGGGCGGTGCCTGACAGCGCGTGCCCGCAAACAATCAGGGAAGAGGAAGGCAGAGTAGATGCTAGTGATCATTGGTATTAGAATCAGTAGTGCCACGGGGAATCGATATTCGATGTGACACCCCATTGTTTTGAGTTGCTAAGGGCTCTCGATCCTTTCTGAGTGTTTTAGATTGGGAATATGACCGTGCAGGACAAGCTAGGATATTCTATAGAACTCATAATCAGATCGCGTTGAACACACTGCATTTTTTTCGTTGTAACAAATGCTGGTAGTGTGAACATTCTGGAGGTACAGCAATGATTACCTGACGCTTTTTCGCTCTAATGGTGCGCTATATATGCTACTGTTATGTTGCGAATCTTCTGACATGTTGCTCAGTAATACGTTTGTTGCAATCGTATGTGCAGTTATGTTTTCTTGTGAGATTCCTCTTGTTCCGCAGCATTGTGGGGGTGTCTAGAGTACATTGTTTCTACATGTGTGAATGTACATTGTTTCTTCTACACTTGTGCATCGTTGAATTTACATATATGGAACCGAAACGGGGTTATTGTCTTTGCCGTTTTGCCGTCCTGTACATGGGATGATGCGAAGATGCAAGATAATTTTAGCTTCACCTAGCCTCCTCGCTCTTGATCATCTTTGAAAAAACTCTCGTCATCGACATACCATCGAGGTCCCCCAAGTTCGCTGACACGGTGGCCTCTGTCCCGTCGCTGACGGTCGACTGGTTGCGATGGAATCTGGACGCACTCCTGGGAACTAGCTGCGTGCCGTCAGTGCCAGAGCTATCCGGCGACGCCTCCTGCAGCTGCAGCGCGAACTCGAGGCACCAGAGCACGTCCCCGATGGCGGGCCGCTCCACGCCGTACTCCGCGAGGCACTTCTCCGCGGTGTCAACGAACTTCTTGAGCGACTCCGACCGTATCGACCCAGCGATCCGCTGGTCGACGATGCTGTCGAGCTCGCCGTTCTTGAGCCGCTGCGTGGCCCACTCCGCCAGGTTCACCATCTCCCGGGGCAGAGTTGGGTCGATGACGGGGCGCGCGCAGAGCACCTCGAGCAGGACGACGCCGAAGGAGTAGACGTCGGACTTGTCCGTCAGCATCTGCCGCCGGAAGTACTCCGGGTCGAGGTACCCGAAGCTGCCCTTGACGGCGGTGCTGACGTGCGTCTTGTCCAGCTCCGGCCCGGTCTTGGACAGCCCAAAGTCGGCGACCTTGGCCATGAAGCTGTCGTCGAGGAGGATGTTGGCGGACTTGACGTCCCGGTGGATGATCGCCTTGGCCGAGCCGGTGTGGAGGTAGTGCAGGCGTGCAGCCCCCTGGCGGCGCCGATGCAGACGTCGAGCCTCTGCTTCCACGAGAGCGGAGGCAGCTCGGAGTCGTAGAGGTGGCTCCGGAGCGTGCCCCTAGCCATGCACTCGTACACTAGGATCATCTCGCCGCGCTCGTCGCAGTAGCCGATGAGCGACACCAGGTGGCGGTGCCGCAGCCGGGAGAGCAACTCGATCTCCGTGCGGAACTCGTTCAGCCCCTGCTGTGACTGCCGGTTCCCGCGCTTCACGGCCACCCGCGTCTCGTCCCGCAGCGTGCCCTTGTACACCTTCCCGAACCCGCCGACGCCGATCACCATGCCCTCGTCGAACCCGCACGTCGCCTCCTGCAGCGCCGCGAAGGGGATCCGGTACCCGGCACCGGCGTTCTGCCCGAGCGTGACCGTGTTGTTCCTGGCGCCGCCGCTGTTGCTCTTGCCGAAGCTGCGCGAGTGCGCCCGGGAGCCCAGCGCGCTCGCCGAGAACGCGGCCCAGGTGTTCGACGGCTTCTTCTCCGGTTTCTTCCGTCGCCGCACCCAGAGGACAATTAGCGCGACAGCCATCACCACCGTGGCTCCCGCGACGGCCGAACCGGCGACGATTGAGATGGTGGTTTTCTTTGAACCGCTCTGCGACGAGGTGGCGCCATCGCCGCCGGTGCTCCCGACCATTCTCATGATCTCGAGGCCGTTGAGGACGCCGTCTGGGTCCGCGTTGCCCAGCGTGGACGTCCCGATGCTCACGGTGATGTTGCCCTTGACGTCCTTGGCGCTGAGCACAAAGTCCTTGTACAACGGCACGGCCGGGACGCTGAAAGTCTCTCTGGAGATCTCGTAGTCCGGCAGCACAGTCCATCCGCCGACGTAGACGTTGAAGACCAATACGTTTGCCGCCTTGCTGACTATGTCGCAGAAGTGTAGCCGGAGCAGGTACGCCGACCCCGGCGTGGCTTGTAATTTCCATGTCATGTTAAACTGCACGCTTATGGTGCTGGCGGACATCAGAGTCGTGTTGATCTCCGTCGCTGTAGCATAGACCATGCCTGGCGCCGTCTCGGCGGTCGCGAAGCCTGGCGTCCACCGGAGCGTCGAGGGCGGCACATCTCTGTGCACCGTAACGGAACTGTCGGCCAGGAAGCCCTCGTCCGGAAGCCACGTCCTCCCCAGCGTGTCGTTCCAGGGCGTGATCTTGGGAGAGCCCATGTTGACCCTGTGAACCGTCTCCAGCGCCTGCGTGGACAGCCCCGTGTATTGGCCCATGGGGTTCACTGTCTGCGCCGCGTCGGCGAAGAGGTCGTCGGGGTGCGACAGTCCGCGGCGAGGTCACCGGACTGGTACCTGAAGGGGAAGAAGTGGAGGCGCAAGAAGTGTCGCCCTGGAGTCTTGACCGCGAACGTGTACGAGGACGGCGCCGCGAACACGCGCGCGTACTGGTACAGCGCCGGATCGTCGGAGCCGCTGGCCGATCCCACCGCCGACGCGTTGGCCTCGGAGCCCGGGGCGCCGACAGCACCGAGGCGGGGAGGCTGGCGTCGCCGAGGAACGTCCTGCCGTCGACCGTGGCGTTCGCCGCCGTGCCGCAGAGCACGAGGTAGTTGTCCGCCGGGGTGAACGCGGCGCGCGCGGCGGCCAACAGCGCGGACAGCACGACGGCGACCTGAAGGAGCATGTCAAGAACGGGGCGAGCCATGGACGGGGTGGAAGATGAATCGCGGCAAGACCATCAGCGTGGCTCTAGAGGCAGAAGCAGCTCATGGACGTCTCCCTGGAACAGAGACGTCGAGGCTGGCTGCGGCGCAGGGCAGGCAGCATCAAGGCCCCATGGGAGTCATGGTGGATGATTAGCACAGGGCCGGAGCTGCTCAGAAACCTGCAGCTTGTTTGGCGGCGGGCTGAAAGTGAATCTGCGAACTGGCAGGACAGGTACATCAGCTAGTAGGCGCTGCCTACCCACAGGAACGCGGAACCGGTGCTTGGTGATTGGAGATTTGGTTAGCCATGGAGGTAATATTGGAGGCGCTGGAGCTTTTGGTTAGTGGGGAAAGCATATCACTGTCATTTTCCGAGGATCTCAGGTAGAGGGTGGCCTTGGATATTTTATCGCGAGCCTTTTAATCCTGTCATTTTCGTGGTTTACAGGTTGCCAGGCAAACTCTACCTACGCCCGTATTTGATCTGGTAGCTCGTTGACGTAATTCCAAATACCTGCTACGCCCGTATTTGATCTTGTAGCTCGTTGACGTAATTCCAAAGGAAGGTCAGGACATTTACATCTAGTATGACGTTAGCAACGTTTTGACATATATACGAATCCTAGATCCTCTAAAGTGTTTATGATTATGAGCATTTTACCATCACCGAAGAAGAGGAAGAAACGGTAGATCACGGCACCAGGCCAAGTAGCCAAGCATCCGTCTTTAGTCCCCTTTTTATCCACCAAACTAAAGTTTAGTTAGCTAGAATTTCAAAGCTAAACTTGACTGAGCTAAAAGTTCCCATAACTAAACTTTAGCTAGGGTATTTGAATCCTCCAACTAATACACATAGCTAAACTTTAGCTAAATTTAGCTGAGCTGAGCTATACTTTAGCTGTTTTTTTAGTTAGACCGTGTAGATCTGTAACAGCTAAAGTTTAGTAGATGGGTTAAACATGTTTTCTTTCACTTTTCACCGCTGGTCCTCCCTCGGCCGTTTGTGCGTGCACGTCGACCTCAACGAGGTTCCATTCAGCAGCGACAAATTGGCAGCAGGCGAAAACGAGTTGGGGAGCGAAGAATCGAGAACGGCATACGATACATACATGCCTTTTCAGGGACCAGGGAATTCTCGTTTCTGAGCAAAATAGAGGCGATTATCTCTAGCCCGGTGGTAGTGCTCCTGCTTTCCCAACTCCCAGCCGCTCCGAATCCATGCGTCGCGAGGTGTGAAGGACCGCGGAAGTCTCCAGCGGCACCCGTCGTCTGCCACGCCCGCACACTACCGACCGGCCTTTTCGGCTGATATTAAAGTCGACGGTAGATTCTAGCTGACTGATAAACTGAAGCGAACACGCGAAGGGCAGGCGCGGTCGTCGTTGTCGTGCCGTCGTGCGCCCCACCACGAGACGAGATCATCAGACGCTGCTGATGCACACGTTTCAGGCTCATTAGATTAGATGGCACCGTGACACGACGGAATCAGATTGATTGGCACGCTGGATCGGATCCATTATTTTCAGAGGAATTCTCGCTGCACCGTGATGCTTTCTCTGTTCCTGGTCATCATAGACAAAAGTCTGATGACTGATGTACTCCAATACGAGAGGATGACAGATGAGTCTGCGTGTTTCGCGTGCGTGCGGCGGAGACGACACTGGCGTGTGGACACAAGAACCGGGAGAAATGAGTGTAAACCCACACCTCCATTCCATCCACTGGTCAGCTAGCGCACTGGCACTGGAGGATAACGCGCGGCGCGGCGGCTGAGGGAGACGTGAACCCTGGTGCCACCAGTACGCGTCGCGTCGGCGCCGCGAGGGGGACACGTACGGTACGGGCAGTTCGGGTTCGGGCACCGTCTCGCCCTAGGGGCAAGGGTCGTGCGTTACTCCTACGGGGAATTTTTTAACATTTTTTAAACTAATTTTAAATCTAACAGTGTTGAATTTTTTTTCTTCAAAACTAATACTTTTGGCCGCGCCTATTTTTCTGGCGCGACGAAACGCCTGTGCCGCGCCATGTATGGTGACGCGGCGAGAGGGGTGACGTGGCGACGACCGGGGCGGTGATCGGTGACGTGGTAGTGGCTCGCCACCACCACCAATCTTTGGCGCGCATCGACGCTACCATAGCCACGGTGCGCGACAGCCCTAAGTAAATATCGCCATGCCGCCGCCTCCTCTCTCGCTCGCAAGACCGCCGCGCCGCTGCCGCCTTGCCGCCCTTTTGCCAGCCGTCAACGCTGCGCCGCCTTTGCCGCGCCGCCGCTCATGCCGCCGCCACGCCGCCACCACGACGACGCCGCCCGCATGACCACGACGACAACGCACGTTGGCAGCGAGTAAGATTGATTAAAGTCCTAATTAAGCGCTAATTTTGGTTTAGGCGTTCATGTAATTAGGTTAATTAAGATCTTGTCTAAGTATAAGTTCTAACAATTGGTATCCGAAAAGTCGCTTAGCCTAATTCTTGAACCCTAAGACCTAATTAGTGTTTGGTTAAGATCTAAATAGCATCGATTTGTCCGATTCAAAATTCTTTAAGTCAAATCAGAATATAGAGTTTCGCTTAAGCACCGAGAAGGAGTGAGGGAGTCGAATCAACTTCAACATTAAGCCCCAGTTTTTGCCCAAATCCGAACCCTAGGAATGCAAATTATCCAAATCCGATAACAATCCCCAACCCTAAAATCAGTAAGACGCTTTTCACTTACCATAAGAACTAAGATGGCGCCGTCGGGCTCCTTCACGAGTTCACCGGCAGCCAAAAAAGGAGCCACGCCGCCGCCCTACTATGTGCGCGCGTCGGTCTCCGTGCCACGGATGCCCGCAGGCATAGAAGACGAGGGCAGCAGGTCCATACATAGAAGTTGCTTATTTTTTTAGTGAAGTTGTTTAATATGTCTGTTAATGTTACTTTGAATATATACATGTGCTTTCATATTATGTTCATATTACATAACAAGTTGTTCAAATTTTACAATGCTACATAATGTTAATTTGAATATTGTTAATTTAAATACTCTAACCCCTTGTTTATCAATTTATAACAGGATGACCCATCCCACACAGCACCAGTTGTACCCCCTTCTTGATGTGGAGTACGATGACCCGCACCGAGCACACTTCTTGACTGACACCGACGCAGAGGTGCCCTTGCCTCCTTTGAGGCCCCGCACGCACACCAGGGCGCACCAATGGGACGAGCGTGACGCGTCGTACATACGGTGTGCCGGCTTCCTCGAGCTTGTCCGTGTTGTCAACTACAGCCTTCCGCCCCTTGATCCAGCACTACTTACTGCAGCTGTAGACAGGTGCGAGTGCCTTCATTGTACGTAAACATTCTTATAACAAATTTGAGGTAACTAACAGTCGTTCTATTCTTATAACAGGTGGAGGCCTGAGACCCACACGTTCCACCTACCTTGCGGCGAGATGACCTTGACTATGCAGGACGTGAAGGCTATCTTTGGCATTCGGTTGCGGGGACTTCCAGCGACAGGTATAGTTGACAACGATCACTGGAGGGAGCTGGTGGCTCAGTTCACTGGCTTTCTTCTACTGGACGACGAGGTTTCCAAGAAAAATAAGTGAGCAATTCAAGCCTATTTAATACTTGCATTGCTTTTCTACAGCCATCGGGTCTCATTTTCTTTGGTGAATTTCAGAAAAAGTTATGGTGTTTCATCGTCGTGGATCACAGAGCGCTTTGATTACTTGGACCCACAGACTGATGAGTCTCAGATCGACAGGTTCGCTAGAGTGTGGCTCTAGCACTTTCTTTGTGCTTTCCTATTCCCAGACACCTCGGGCAACACCATTAGCTAGATCGTTCTTGACATACTATGTCAGCCGTAGGATAACATAACGGCGTACAGCTGGGGCAGCGCGGTCCTAGCATGGACATATCGACAACTATGCGTTGTCTGCCGTCGCACCTCAGGGTATGCGAACCTTGGGGGTTGCTCTTACCTACTCTAGGTTTGGTGTTGGGAACGATGGCCCGTTGGGAGGCCCCTTGTTACTGGTTTACCGGTAAGTACTTTGGTTCACTATATTCTTCGAAGCAGTTACATATGATGAAATTATTAATGGCTAATTTATTATCGTGTTCAATGCAGCATTGGAATGGGCAGGATACACTCCCTACAGCTCTGTATATCTAGACGCAAGCAGAGTTAGTTAGAGGGAATGCGAGATGCAAGTACAGGGAGTACATGGATTGTCTCGACATCCTGACACAACACCAGGTTACGCTCTCTTTACTATTATACATGTGTCTTGTTCGATGTACACTATATCACAACCTAACTCAATTACAAAATGTTCAGGTGCATTGGTGTCCCTAGGATGCTCTGGAGCTCCAGTACTATCTGAGTCATGTCACTAGGGATGAGTCAAACGAGTATCGCTACAACGTCCCTCTTATTTTATTCCACATGGTCATGATTCACTTGCCTATCAGGGTTTACAGGCAGTTTGAAAGAATGATAAGCTACCCACCACTGCTTTACTCCACCAACCAAGAATTGCATGGGTGCGTTATCGATTAATAACAAAGTTACAATTTAGATGTGTGTATGGTACAACTAACAATCGTTTTGTTGCAGGTATGACCGCAGGAAGAGGTACAAGATCAAGGATTGACGCGTGACACACAACGTGTACATCCAGTTGTGGCAGAACAGGACCGGTAGCCAGTCGATGCGGGTCCCCCACACGACCAGCACACCTTCGACGAGTACCTACGGTGGCTTCATAGGTCTACGAGGACACATATCAAGCCCCCATACACTGAGGAGGCGATTGACGAGGACGATGAGGAAGATGTAATCAAAGATGTGTACGACATTGCCACTAGGGACGACACACAACTATAGAGAGCCCCGCTTCAAAGATACATGGTGAGATACTCGAATGGTATAATTTGTTATTCATTTGGTATTAAGTATGTGTACTAAAACTGTCCAACCGCTGCGTTTCTGTACCCAGGC